CAGCTCACACTGATTTTACTTCTTAATCTTTTGCTTTCTACCATAGCATTTTAATGGTTTCTCTTCCTGAGGTATTTCTTACAGTGTGATATGATTGAGCCATAACACCAGCTACATGATGATTTTCATTCTTTTTCTTTTCTTTTTTTGGTGGCTGGCTGGTAAGGGGATTCGAACCCTTGACTTGGTGTTATCAACACTGAGCTCTATAACCAACTGAGCTAACCAGCCAGTTAGTTCTCACTAACTATTTTTAAAGCCTTATTCATGAGAGCTGTTCTCACTAATAGTAATAGATTAAATATAGTGTTTTCCCTCTTCCAATTGCATTATATTTAATAGTGAATATTGTCTCCTTGTGACTTTTGGGTACCACTTTGTACCTCGCAGGTGCTATACAAAGAGGACCTGGGGAAAGCAACCCCCACACCCTTTACTCCTGAGATGGAAAGAGCCAAACGCAATCAAGAAAACTTTAGCTCGGTATTTCAGAAAGGAAAAACAAATCGTTAAAATTTTAACAAGACTGGCAAACATGGTTAAACCACTAATTTATCTTACAGTGTTTCTAAAACTTTTGTGTATCTTTTAAGATTTCCCCTCATTCATTTAAAAGAAATAAACCAATCCCATCAGCTCACACAGATTTTACTTAATCTTTTGCTTTCTACCATAATATTTTAATGGCCCACTCTTCCTGAGGTGTTTCTTACAGTGTGATATAATTGATCCATAAACCAACTACATGATGATTTTCATTCTTTTTTTTTTTTATTTCTTCTTCTTGGTGGCTGGCTTTAAAAGGATCTGAACCCTTGACTTTGGTGTTATCAACACTGAGCTCTATAATCAACTGAGCTAACCAGCCAGCCCTCATTAACTATTTTAAAAGCTTTCTTTTTGAGAGCTGTTCTCACTAATAGTAATAGATTAAACATAGTTTCTCTCCCCCCACCCCCAATTGCATTATATTTAATAGTGAATGTTACCTCTTTGTGACTTTTGGGTACCACTTTGTACCTCGCAGGTGCTATACAAAGAGAACCTGGGGAAAGCAACCCCCACACCCTTTACTCCTGAGATGGAAAGAGTCAAACGCAATCAAGAAAACTTTAGCTCGGTATTTCAGAAAGGAAAAACAAATTGTTAAAATTTTAACAAGACTGGAAAATATGGTTATACCACTAATTTATCTCACAATGTTTCCACAATTTTTGTGTATCTTATAAGATTTCTCCTTGTCCATTTAAAAGAAGTAACCCAATCCCACCAGCTCACACTGATTTTACTTCTTAATCTTTTGCTTTCTACCATAGCATTTTAATGGTTTCGCTTCCTGAGGTATTTCTTACAGTGTGATATGATTGAGCCATAACACCAGCTACATGATGATTTTCATTCTTTCTCTTTTCTTTTTTTGGTGGCTGGCTGGTAAGGGGATTCGAACCCTTGACTTGGTGTTATCAACACTGAGCTCTATAACCAACTGAGCTAACCAGCCAGTTAGTTCTCACTATTTTTAAAGCCTTATTCATGAGAGCTGTTCTCACTAATAGTAATAGATTAAATATAGTGTTTTCTCTCTTCCAATTGCATTATATTTAATAGTGAATATTGTCTCCTTGTGACTTTTGGGTACCACTTTGTACCTCGCAGGTGCTATACAAAGAGAACCTGGGGAAAGCGACCCCCACACCTTTTACTCCTGAGATGGAAAGAGCCAAACGCAATCAAGAAAACTTTAGCTCGGTATTTCAGAAAGGAAAAACAAATTGTTAAAATTTTAACAAGACTGGCAAACATGGTTAAACCACTAATTTATCTTACAGTGTTTCTAAAACTTTTGTGTATCTTTTAAGATTTCCCCTCATTCATTTAAAAGAAATAAACCAATCCCATCAGCTCACACAGATTTTACTTAATCTTTTGCTTTCTACCATAACATTTTAATGGCCCACTCTTCCTGAGGTGTTTCTTACAGTGTGATATAATTGATCCATAAACCAACTACATGATGATTTTCATTTTTTTTTTTTTTTTTTTTTCTTCTTCTTGGTGGCTGGCTTTAAAAGGATCTGAACCCTTGACTTTGGTGTTATCAACACTGAGCTCTATAATCAACTGAGCTAACCAGCCAGCCCTCATTAACTACTTTAAAAGCTTTCTTTTTGAGAGCTGTTCTCACTAATAGTAATAGATTAAACATAGTTTCTCTCCCTCCACCCCCAATTGCATTATATTTAATAGTGAATGTTACCTCTTTGTGACTTTTGGGTACCACTTTGTACCTCGCAGGTGCTATACAAAGAGGACCTGGGGAAAGCAACCCCCACACCCTTTACTCCTGAGATGGAAAGAGCCAAACGCAATCAAGAAAACTTTAGCTCGGTATTTCAGAAAGGAAAAACAAATCGTTAAAATTTTAACAAGACTGGCAAACATGGTTATACTACTAATTTATCTCACAGTGTTTCCAAAATTTTTGTGTATCTTTTAAAATTTGTCATTGTACATTTAAAAACAACAAAACAATCCCACCAACTCACATTGATTTTAGTTCTTTCTTAATCTTTTGCTTTCTACCATAACATTTTAATGGCTTTCTCTTCCTGAGGTGTTTTTTATAGTGTGATATAATTAAGCCATAACACCAAGCTATATGATGATGTTCAGAACTGGTTTTCTGCTCTTTGATGTCTGGCTGCTCTTTTGGCTCCCCTAGGTATTGTACAAAGAGAATATGAGAAAAGCAACTCCAACACCTGTTACTCCAGAGATGGAGAGAGCTAAGCGCAACCAAGAAAACATTAGCTCGGTATTTCCTAGGACTAAAAAGGAGTCGTGCAACAACGTGGAAAATAACATGTTAACATCATAAAAATGTGCCTTTGTCATTCAACTGAAAAACACACTAAAATTTAAAAAGAGAGAAGTGTAACATCTTGGAACATAACAATTTAACACCATAAAAACGTGCACTTTCTCATTCAACTTAAAATTTACACTAAACTTAACACAACTGTGCTTTTAAATTCCAAATGATCATACTAAAAGTAACAAGTTAATTGCACATGTTTTCTCTCCCCTTTTTATTTACTCTGAGATAGTTTTACATAACCAACTATAACAAATTGACTTTCTAACATTCCCAATCTTCTGCTCTCCCTTATTTTTAAGGTACCTTATGAAATGGATTATACTCTGAAATGGATGCCTACTTTGGCCTTGATATTTTGGGTTTTTAGTGTGTGGAGGACTTTGATGTCTTTATTAGCATACTGGTTTATAAAATCTGGACATAGCCTAAGAAAAATCATCACTTGTTTTAAAAGATAGTTCTTTTAAATTCCCTTTAGTATCAAAGTTAGTGCCAAATGCTATTGAATATGCTGGTGCTGGTGGTACAATTCCTAGCAAATTCAAGAATCTACTTTTTTCTTTTTCTTTCCAAAATCATACTGTGCCCTTTCTCCTTTGAAAATGAAAATTTCATTTTCAAAGTCAAAACAAGTCCTACGTTTTTGGCTGCAAGCCCCACCTGTCCTCATGCTACCCTGTTCCCTTGTTAGTCACTTAGTCACTTGGCTCGCCTGGTCCTTCCACCGACTCAATCTTCCCTCAGCAGCCCCTTTCACCTACAGAATGACAGCACCATGTCCCGTGCTCATTCATGGTCTCTCCGATCAGGTTCTTTATTCGGATAGCTTCCGGAAGCAAATACAAGGCAAAGCTGCTTATGTGTTGGACACCCCAGAGATGCGTCGGGTGAGGGAAACCCAGCGACACATCTCAACGGTGAGTCAGGAATTCTTTAGGATTGGTTGGAATCCTGTTGGAACATGTAGAAAGGGAAGTGGTCACACCTTATATGTCCATAAAGCAAATGCATGACATTTCAGGTGAAATATCATGAAGACTTTGAGAAACACAAGGGTTGCTTCACACCAGTGGTGACGGATCCTATTACTGAACGAGTAAAGAAGAACACACAGGACTTCAGTGACATTAACTACCGAGGTATTCAGAGGAAAGTGGTAGAAATGGAACAAAAACGGAATGACCAGGATCAGGAGACTATTACAGGTAACTGAGCCCTGGGGGTGGGGTGGGGTGGGGAATCAACTTTAAGGGGAGTAGAAGAACACAAAAGTGACATTATCTACATCAAATCAAAGTATAAACGACCTCAATCTGTTTTCATTAAGTATGAAAGAAAGTCCCTATTATCTCACAGTTTGCAGAGCTGACATCTTTCTACCTGATCTTTGTTCTCCTCTGAGGAGAAGACATGACCAGAACCTAAGCTGAAAAAGTGATTCATACTCCTGTGACCATTTAAATTGATGCCTTGGTGTTCAAGTTATTGGAGTCCAGGAACACCTGTTCTGATCACTGGTCTCCCTTTCAGGTTTACGTGTCTGGCGTACCAATCCTGGTTCAGTTTTTGACTATGACCCTGCAGAAGACAACATTCAATCTCGCAGCTTACACATGATTAATGGTATGTTATGCTGCAAAAGGTGTATAACAAAAATATGACCGTGTAGTGTGTTGGAGTCTGACTTTTAGGCTCTGAAGTTCCTTCCCTCCAGGGTTTTCAATTTTCTGAGTTGCCGATTTTGCATAAAAACACCTCACTGACTAACATATTTTCTACACAAGTTCAAGTTAGGAAAAGATAATGCTACACCACCTCAGTGCAAGTCTCCTTCAGGCCCCAGTATTATTATTTCTATTTTTTTTTTTTTTTTTGTCTCCTAAAGAAGAAAAAAGTAGTAAACCTTTTTATTGGAAAAATAATAACAATAAAATACATAGACAAAAGGAAAAACATGAATTTGACCTTTAGGAACTTTCTGAGCTCTCTTATGTCAAGGAAAATTATTCATTCAACAAAACAGGCTGTTCTGTTCATGATAAAAAGTAGAATAAAATGAGGGTACTTCAAAAAGTTCATGGAAAAACAGAATTAAAAGATAATGCAAAATTTTCCATGAATTTTTTGAAGTACCCTTGTATGTAGTGCCAACCCTCAAAGAATTTATACTCTAGTCTAGTGGTAAAGGCAGAGGAGTAAATCCACAGTTACACCTTGACACATGCAATTGTAAAGGTCTGCCTACGGTATTGTGGGAATATAGAGAGAATACCTATATTAATTTGGAAGTTAGGAAGGTCTTTCTAGAGAAGTTGAAGATGGAATGTAAACGTGAATATTACTATCTATTCATTTTGGTGAGCCAGGAAAATGGGCAGGGTGGAGGGAAGGAATAGTAGTTGACACTCTTGGATCTGAAACCTGGCTGTACCACTCGACTGTTACATGACCTTGGCCATTTATTTAGGTTCTCATATATAAAATAGAGAAGACAACCCATACAGCAGTAGAGTTGTGAGGGTATACTCCATGGAAAATTACCTAAAACCATGCTTGGCAAAAAATAACAGCTGAGATTGTATTACTGTTAGGCATTCCTACTACAGAAGTTTCAACTTGGCTACATCTCTCTTAATCACATCTCTCCCAGTCCAAGCTCAGCGCCGGGGCCGGGAGCAGTCGCGATCTGCCAGCGCGCTGAGCATCAGTGGGGGCGAAGAGAAGTCTGAGCATTCAGAAGCTGCCGACCACCACCTCTCCACCTACAGTGACGGGGGCGTCTTCTCTGCAGCCTCACCAGGTACAAGCTGATGGCGTTGACTTTGACAGTCATGGCTGGCCAGCTCATGGATGGTTACTGTAAGAGATGATTTGAGTAAAAATAAATCAATAAATAAATCTTGATTCCTCTAATGAGAAAAAACTAGAATTAGTGGAGGGTTACATGAAGTTAGATGTTTCATTTTCTTTAATTTTATTAGATCCTCCCTTCTTGGAAATCATTCTTTTTAAGTTGGGGAAAAACACAACACAGCTCAGCTGCTAAAAACAGATTAAATGATGTGTAGCCATGTTTTCTCCTTACAAACTATTTTTTTTCCTTTTCAGCTTACAAACATGCAAAAACCATAGTGCTTCCACAACAACGATCATCTTCAGTTGCCACCCAACAGACAACGGTATCTTCTATCCCTTCTCATCCATCTACTGCTGGAGTAAGTAAATAATAAAGAACTTACTCAAATCATTCTATTTTTTCATATGTGCGAAAACGATTATAGGTATTCTCATCTTTTTTTTTTTAACCAAACCTTCTAGTAGGTTCTATAATTCTCTTTTACTACATGTCAGTAATACCAGAAAACCAAACCTGAATTAATGAAAAAGCATTATGCAATGATTAAACAAAGAAACAAACAAACAACTAGAGCAAAGCATCAGTTTTGGATCATTGACTTCACTGACTATCTTAAACTAAACATTTGGTACTTGGGATTATTCTTTAAGAATACATAATATACATACACACGTGACATATCTTAGATCTCCTCTATTAATATATATATATATTAATATATATTAAAATATATATTAAATCATGTTCACAATTCATCAGGCTACTTTAAAACTCTTAATTTAGGACTGGCCAGTTAGCTCAGTTGGTTGGAGAGTGGTGTTATAACACCAAGGGCAAGGGTTCAGATCCCCATACTAGCCAGCTGTAAAAAATAAAACTCTTAGTTTAAAATTCTGACCCCATTCATAACGTTACAAAAACATAAAGCTTTAGGACTAAAGTGAACAATATTTATATTAAGACAACTATCCTTACTAAGGACATAAACGAAGATCTAAATAACTATTGAGATATTATATTTCAAGAAGGGAATATTGTAACATTGTCATTTCTCCTGAAATAAATCAATAAATTTGACAGTTCCAATAAAAATCCCCATAGCATATTTTATTTTATTTTTTCTAAAAAGATGACCTGTAAGGGGATCTTAACCCTTGACTTGGTGTTGTCAGCACCACGCTCTCCCAAGTGAGCCACGGGCCGGCCCTCTCAATAGCATATTTTAAAAATGTGCATGATAATTCTAAAATTTATTTGAAGGAGTAAAGATGCAATAATAACCAAGCAAATTTTGAAAATGATGAAAGAAAAAACCATAAAAGAGCAAAACACACTACAAGATTATTATAATTAAATAGGGATTTGGTATGGTAATAGACACACAAATAAATGAAGTTCAGAAATGGACCCTAAAAGAATTACAGATCAGCAGGAAAGGGATGAGTTATTTAATTATATGATCTTGGGATAACTAGTTATCTATTTAGTAATAATAATAATAATAATAAAATTAGATACCCATCTCAAAGTCTACTTAAATTGCAGCTGTACCAAAGATTGAAATGTAAGAACCAAAATTTTAAAAGTATTGCAGAAAAATAGAGACTACTTTTATAGTATTGTGGAAAGACTTCCTAAGCAAGTTCCAAGATCCAAAAGTATAAAGGAAGAAAGACTGACAGATTTGACTATAGGATTTTAAATGTTTCTATAACAAAAAGAAACATGTCAGACTGGGAGAAAATATTTACAGCATATATAACATAAACATTAGTATCTAAAAAGCATAAAGTATCTAAAATTCAATGACAAATTATTCCCCTCCCCTCAAAATAAGAAAGACCTGAAAGAGTATGAATAGACAATTTATGGAAAAAATAAAAATGTCCAACAAAAAGAGTGTTCATCATGACTAGTAACCCAGACTATGCAAGTGAAAACAATAGTAAAATATGATATTCGAACATTAGAGTATCAAATGCTTTTAAAAAATTTAAACACATTTTGACCTAACACTTTCAATTTAAAGCTCTTTCTTCAGAGATTATTTGCCCAAAGATAAACGCTAGGATGTTCATTGTAGTGTTAGAAAACAGTGACAACTAAGTGTCCATAAAAATGGAAATGCTGAATTATTTGTGGTATTAACAAAATGTGGAATTCTCTCCAGTGGTCAAAAAGAGTAAGATAGATCAATATTTATATGGAAAGACTTCTAAGCTATATTAAATGAAAAGAATAAGCCAGAGTATTACAGGTTTGTTCCACTTATTCAGGGGAAAGGAGAAATCTATTTGTGAATATGAATATCTGTGTGTATGTTTCACAATGCAAAAAAATGTATATGTATAGATTACAACCCAAATTACTAACCAGTGGCTGCTCCTAGAAAGAAACTTTGGGTATTTTCACTTATTATTTATACCTCCAAAGCATTAAATTTTTTTTAAAAACTTTGTGTTGAATAGTCTCTCAGAACTTTTACTGGGCCGGCCCGGTGGCGCACTGGATAAGTGCACCGCTTGGGAAGCGCGGCGGCGCTCCCGCCCGAGGGTTCGGATCCCACATACAGACCGGTTCCCGCTCACTGGCTGAGTGAGGCGCGGGAGCAACACCGAGGGTTGCAATCCCGTTGCCGGTCCCCGGTCCGGTACGGGGGCAACACTGAGGGTTGCGATCCGTTGCCGGACATGGAAAAAGACAAAAGACAAAAAAAAAAAAAAAAAAAAAAAAAAAAGAACTTTTACTACTGGTATGCTCCAAAATTGCCAAAGTGAGAGATGACATGCAATATTGCTATGGTTTTTAAAATTCTTCTCTAGAGTTGACTCCCTGAAAAAATAAATAAATAAAATTCTTCTCCAAAACAGAAGATTAACCTCCCCAAAAAGGAAAGGCCACAGTCACATATAAAATTAGCACATTCTCTTTTTTCTCTTTGAGTATACACAGTTTCGTGGATATATAATTAACATAGTATTAAGTTCATAATTTAAAGTATACAACTCAATGATTTTTAGTTCATTTAAAAAGTTGTTCAGGGCCGGCCCATGGCTCACTCGGTAGAGTGCGGTGCTGATAACACCAAGGCCGCGGGTTCGGATCCTATATAGGGATGGCCGGTTTGCTCACTGGCTGAGCGTGGTGCTGACAACACCAAGCCAAGGGTTGAGATCCCCTTACCGGTCATCTTTTTCAAAAAAAAAAAAAGTTGTTCAATCATCACCATAATCTAATTTTAGGATATTTTCATCACCATAAAAGAAAAAAAAAAAACAAACCAAACCTTGTACCTGTTAGCATTCACTGTCCATCCCCATCCTCTCTCTTCCAGCTCCATCCAATCCTAGGCATCCACTGATGTACTTTTTTTTTTCTTTTGGCTGCTGGTGGGTATGGGGATCTGAACCCTCGACCTTGGTATTATCAGCACTGTGTTCTGACCAAGTGAGCTAACTGGCCAGCCCCCACTGATCTAGCTGTACATAGTTGTCTATTTGGAACTTTTCATATAAGTGAAATCACATAATATGTGGACTTTAGTGCATGCCTTCTTTCACTTAACATTTTGAGGTTTATCTGTTATATCATATATCAGTACTTCATTCTTTTTACTACCAAATTATAGTTCATTGTATGGATGTACCACATTTTGTTTATTCATTCATTGGTTGGTGAGCATTTGGGTTGTTCCCACTTTTTGGATATTATGAATAAAACTGCTAAAACATGCGTATACAAATTAGCGTGCATATACATATTTTCATTCCTCTTGGGTGTATACCTAGTGGAGGAACTGCTGGGTCATATGGTAATTCCATATTTAACATGTGATAACTGCCAAACTGTTTTCCAAAGTGGCTACATCATTTACATTTCCGCCAGTAGTTCATAAGGGTTCCAATTTCTCCACATCCTCTCTAACACCTGTTATATGTCTTTTTGATTATCATCATTCTAGTGTGTGTGAAGTGGTGTCTCATTGTGGTTTTGATTTGCATTTCCCTAATGACTAAGACGTTGAGCATCTTCTGTGCTTATTGACTGGCTATTTGTCCGTCTTTGGAGAAATGCCTATTTCATATCCTTTGTCTTTTTATGTGTGTGTTGAGTTGTAGAAGTTCTTTATATGTATCCTGGACGTTAATCTCTTATCAGATACATGATTTGCAATTTTTTTTTTTTTTACTTTTTTGGTGGTGGTTGCACATATTTAAGTTGGAATATGTGAAATAGGTCATGAGAGAACTCATAATTGTTCGGGTTTGTCATTGCAAATCCAATAAATAAAATTTTTCCTTTTTTTCCATCTCCTTAAATAGAAAATCTTCCGTGCCATGTATGACTACATGGCTGCTGATGCAGATGAGGTGTCCTTCAAAGATGGAGATGCTATTGTAAATGTTCAAGCTATTGATGAAGGTTGGATGTACGGTACTGTGCAGAGGACTGGCAGGACTGGCATGCTCCCAGCCAACTACGTTGAAGCTATTTAGGCACTTCAAAGCATCACAACTGTATGCACGACCTACAAATCCTGCAGTCAATATTTCAGTTTAGACTCTCCACTATTACTCAAGTTCTCAAGCTGCCTAACGGTTTTTCTGTGTCTATATGATTTATGGTAGTACCACCCCTTGTTTCTGTATGAACCCCAATAATTCTCTAGTAAAACAAATGTTGGTATCACTAATCTGTCCAGTTATTGAACTAGATTTACATTTTCATTATTTTCTGAACTTGCACATAAAACTTGAGACACTAAGCTTATAAGTTCTCTATTTTAAAAACTGCCACTATCAAATTTTCCTTTGGATTTAAAACAATTTCAATATTAGGATAGACATTTTAAAAGCTTCTCTAATGTTATATTATTGCTGTATCAACCCAGTCTTTCTCCATAAAAAATATTTAACATTATTTCTTTTCTAAAACAGGGATTCTGAACATGGCAAACACATTAAAGGAAAAATGGCAGAGATATTCATCTTTTCCTTTCTTACTGAATGCTAATGCTTGTATTTCTAATCCAGATATGAAGTTATAAAACTGATAGTCAATATAAACTGGTGATAAATTGGTAGCTAATAAAATTGATAATTCTGCAACAAACTGCATTGATGGAATGAGCATTCTTTATTTTTTATGCTTTTAAGATCTACCAATAAAAAATTAAATAAAGCAAATTCCTTACACTAGACTTGACTACAAAAACTATCTACATTTAAAAAAAAATTGTGCTGTTAAAAATGCACAAGAGTAGACATTCTCAAAACTCTTATCCATACTTGTGTTCAGCAAGCTTCCCTTAATTTTAGAAACAGCCCTTGGGGAAAAAAGAAAAAAAGAAAAGGCAGGCCGGTTAGCCCAGTTGGTTAGAGTGTGGAGTTATAACATCAGAGTCAAGGGTTTGGGTACCTGTACTGGCCAGCCACCAAAAAAATAAATAAACAGCCTTGGATCCAATCCTAGTCTCAGGAGATCTTTCCCATTTGTATCCAGTGGGGCAGTATGTGGAAAAGGTGGTTAAAGAGGTAAAGGTGGAGAGACAACCAGTAATGGCATCATGCTTAAGTTCACAGACCACCCTTCCTAAAAAAGCAAAGATCTGTCCCTGTAACCTCAGAGCTGTAGCAATGCTGTGGTCTCAATTTTCTTAAAAGTGTGTCTCTGAGAATAACAGGGAGTGCTCTAGCAAAGAGAGTGCACATACTTGCAAATGATCAGGAAATACATCTGTATGCCAGGCTAAATGCTAGATGCTGAAGTTCAGATGATGAACATACAGTTCCAAGAAAAGACAGACCACTGTTTACATAGAAAACCATTTACCTAACAAGTTAGAAGCGAAAAGGAATGAACCTGAGTGTTGTAGGAAACTGCCAGTTGGTGATGGGCCGGTGTCCCAACACATTATGGAGTCATTGCTGTCGCCTCTGTGGGGCTGCTCTTCTGCCTGCCCCAAGTCTACAGTCCCTGGGGCCTGACGATCCTGTCCATGTAGAGGAAGGAAGGATTCCTGAAGTCTTGGAGAAAAGCTTTTGTGCCCTCTGGTGGGACTTACCCCCTCATATTCATAATTTTAATTTATACAGTGACCACCTTGGAAGCAAATGCCTCTTGTATTATTCTGTACGTAGTCCATACCTGAGGGTTGTAAATGAGTTCTTTGCATAAATGAAACAAGTCTGTTTTTGATCTTCAAAAACAGAACAAAATAGACCATTCCTAAGCATCCCAGTGGTGAGAGATATTACCACTCTCCCACTTCCAAATCTTCAATCTTTGTTTAAACTGGGTAAAAATCCAAACTAAGCTAGGCAACAATCCCATCATGCAGTTCCCCCCGCCCCTCCACCCAAATGTTGTGAACACCTAAAAAATATGCTTTCTCAGTTACAATGGACTGGTTTAGTTTTAAATTCCCTATTTACTTTATAGGCCTGCCAAAATACACTTTGCAGTTGCAATTACAAGGAAAACAAACACAACTTTTAATTCTAGACTTTTTCTAAAGCTTGAAAAGTGTTCAACATATATACACATTATCTTCCATCTTCCTGTCTATATCCACCACCCAGCCTTAAAAATTATCAACTCCTGGTTAATCTTGTTTCCTCTCCACCCCACCAATGCCCTCCTTCCATTCCCTTAAGTGAATCCTGTTGGTCATATTTTAGTGTGCTTCTCAAAAAGGACTCTTAAAATTAACACACCTTAACAACTGGCAATCTATGTCTAGTCTTCAAATCTTCCCGTTTTCTTCCAGGCATCAGATACTGGGAAAGTCCTCTGTATGTAATCTCTATCAGACTCAGGATTACAAGGCTACAAAGGCTACAAAGGCCTCAGTGACCATTAAAAGGGAGCAATTACATCCGTACATTACACCTGAGCCAAAACTAACTCACAAATGTTATGGGTTCTATCATGTCCCCCAAAACCCTTATTTAAGTCCTAGGCCAGTGCCTCAGAATGTGACCTTATTTTGAAACAAGGTTGTTGCAGATATTGGCTAAGATGAGTTCATTAGGGTGGGCCCTAATCCAATAGACCTGGTGTCCTTAAGGGTAACTTTGGACACACATGTACATGAGGAGAAAGCTATGTGAAAAAGTGGAGATTAGGGTGATGCTTCTATATGCCAGAAATGTCAAAAACTGCCAATAAATCACCAGAAAGCTAGGGGAGAAGCATGGAACAGACTCTTCCTCACAGCCCTTAGGTGCCAATGCTGCTTTTAGTATCGAGAGCTATGAATGAATTTCTGTTGTCACTCAGTTTGCAGCACTTGGTTGCAGCAGCCCTAGTAAACAAACACAGTACCATTCAACATTACTGATTATCTAAAACTATGGATTTAGAAGACTGTGGAACCCATAAAACTGAATAAGTCAGAGAACTTCTATGGTTATAAAGCAGATCATATGGGGTAGGGCAAAGAATATGAATGTTCATGCGTTGGTGGTGAAGGAAAACAATGTTCACTTTATGTTGGTATTTGGATAACGCTATTCTTACTTCATGTCTCATTAAAACAAACAACAAAATAAAACAAAAGCAATTATCAGAATTTAGTTTTTATAGTTTTATTTCAGGTAAAAGTGCATTTCTTTAAAAATGTTTCAATAAAAGTCAACTCCATGATTCATGAAAGGTTTTATTTTGGATCAATGTAAGATTCTCCCTCCCTCAACAAAGTCATAATGAACCAGAAATGCTAACTTTTTCAGTGTAGGTCTGCTGCTTCAAACATTGTATAAAGCATTACACAATCAAAACTGAGAGCACCCCTACTTCCCATCTGCCAGCACAGTTAACTGAGAAACGAACAGGTACTTCTGTTAAGTTTTTGACATAAATCATTTGAAAGATTTATCAAATATAAATACTTTGTGAATGTAAAACTAAGCTGTCTTAAGAGGTTACCAAGTGATGGGGACAAAAATATCATAGGGTTAATAAATGACTGATTTGGTTTCTATCAGTCTTTTTCTAAGTACCTATCAGTCAGGTCTATCCAAAGGAGGTAGTGTTAAGATACAATGAAAGCAATAAGTAACTAACCAATAAGGAAAGCAAACCCCTATACCCCAATTTACTTCACAGGTGTGATTAACCTATTAGTGCCAGATGCCTTTCGTGCAGACCATTAAGGTCCCTTGATATCATGGCTAACACATAATTACAGTTTAAGTAGAAGAAAAAATGTGTACTTAAATAGTACTAGTATCTCTTAATATGTATCTGAGCAATAGCAAAAGACAAATGAAATCAGGGCAACCCATTTTATAAAAAATCTAAATAGGGTTAACAGAAATTAAGGAATCAAGACTCCATTCTGTCAGCGAGAAGCAAATAACCAAATTGACTACATGCCAGGTATGAACAAAACTATCCTCTGTAACAAGAATTGACACTCTGGAAAAGGCCAGAAAGTACGTATTTCAGGCGTCGCAGGTAATACAGCCTCTGTCAGACTACTCAACTCACCCACTATAGCAGGAAAGCAGCCAAAGACAATACTAGTTAACTGAGCATGGCTGTGTTCCAGTAACACTTTATTTCTGGATACCAAAACTTCAATTTTATATATGTGTCACAAAATATTCTTTTTTTGTCCAATCATTTAAAAAATGTAAAAACTAGTCAGCTTAGGAGTACAAAACAACAGGTGTCAGGCTACAATTTGCAGATTCCCTGCTATATAAAAATTTACTAGTTAAGACTGCCATCCTTCAATTTCTATACTCAAAAAACTGATTCTGCTTCTAATTCCATTTTCTTTTAGAAAACTCTGTCTATAAAAATAAATTGTTTAAACACGTTAACTATTCAATTATGTATCAAGTTATTACACTATATTCCATTTTCAGTTCCATAACAATATTTTGGAGGTAGACTTCCTGGTTATACATTGTTTATCCATTTAAGAAACAAAATTATCTTCTGAAAATTATTTGCTTACTATTTTGGGGGGGACAAATTAATAATGTGTATTAAATAATCACTTGAAATTTGTGCACACCAATTTATAAATAGAATAGCTCTCAAGGACCACTGGCTGCAAGCTATAGTATACAGGACTGCTTGTCCCTATACTAAATGAACTAATTGCATTATTATTATAACAATCATTATTAAAATTTCAGCTCTATCTGCCTGTTTTTCTTCATTTTATCACTTCTCAGTGCATCAACTTTTTTTTTTTATCAGCATATAATCTTAATGTCTAGTAAGGCTTTATCCACAATTACAAATCAGCACACTGTAGCCAAAAATAATATTCCTTCTGCTACAAGCAGAACACAAAGTTGCAAAGACTTTTTTCTGCCCTGTGACATCAAAAACTGAAAATATTGGGGCCGGCCCATGGCTCACTCGGGAGAGTGTGGTACTGATAACACCAAGGCCATGGGTTCGGATCCCATATAAGGATGGCCGGTTAGCTCAATGGGTGAGCTTGGTGCTGGCAACACCAAGTCAAGGGTTAAGATCCCCTTACCGGTCATCTTTAAAAAAAAAAAAAAATCCGAAAATATTGCCTTCAGTTTTACAGTCTCAGATAAGAGGGGTTATCTTTCATTCTAAAGGTATTTTTCAGGGGAGTAAGCATTTACAGCTGAGCATGTCATGTTTGATTTTAATTGTTCTTTGGAGAGAGAAAGGAGTAGTATATAAAGAAAAAATGGTTAAGACCACTTGGTAAAGTTTAACATTGTATTAAACTGAGTAAACTCACAATTCTGTTAGACTACTATACTGCAAATATCTACCGATCTCCAAACTGGATGACTCAGATTTTAATGGATACTTTTATAAAAAGCATGGCACATAACAGACATATTATTAACTGGGCCATCTGAAACCATGAAACTCAATTTATTTTACAGATCAAGCAATCAATAAATTTTGAAAAAACAATTTAAAAACCCATTACTAAACTGTTGGCTACATTTTCTTTAGTGCTTTCAACGAAGGCAGTTCTCACAAACAGTATTTAAATATGTGAGGGAATTCTAAGATCTTAACAGAATCCCAAGAAAAACTCACTTTTAGAGAATCAAATTATTCAACTGTACCTTTCAAACTCCACATTAATTTTTCATCCATGTAACATAACAGTACGTTAAGTCACCAGAGGTCTTCAATAAATTGACAGGCCATACCTATCAGATATGACTTCATCATTATGGCATTACTAACTTCACTGCCAAATCAACCTTAAGAGGCCTGTTTTCCATGTTTATTAATAATGAAGACCCATAATAGAACAAAAGATATTTAGAGAATATTTTTAAAATTTGAAAATCTTTATTAACAAGAGAACATAATCCACACTCATGAGAAAATACTGCCTAATCTGCTTTATTAATAAGGTTCTTTATAACATGAAATCCTTAAGCTAAGTCTACTTATTTTTTTAAAAAATGTCTTCCATATTTTAAAAAGGCTCCAAGAGGCAAAATTCTATGCTTAACTTTAAAAATTTTTTTTGAACTGTTAGTTTGAAGAGTTCAAGACCAGTCTGCAACCCCAGTTCATAAACTTGAAAAAGTTGTAAAAGTCTAGCTTATCTTTTGTGGCAACAATTTTAAGTATTAAATCTGCATCAGTTATCTAATTCACAGCCTGAAGCCTCTTAGTGCTATCTACGGGTGCAGTCCATAGACATCAGCATCTGTATGGATCACCTAGCAGTCTGTCAGAAATGCAGACTCTCAGTTTCCATCACAGACATCCTTGAATCAAATCTGCATTTTTACGTGCACATTCAAATATGAGAAGCACTGTGTTGAAAAATCAAAGCTTCACTAATGTATGTGTACAAAGTATTAAGACCTTTCTAATGGCTTAGGAATAAAATAGACATGGGTGGTGGCAATGAGTGAACAAAATCTCCCCCCCCCTACTCAAGTCTTAGCCAACAATCACCATTTTATAGTCTCCTAACCTAGCTGACAAATTACCTCCCTGAAAACCAATTATGAAGAATATGAGATAAAACCTAGGCTTTTCTCACTAAATTAAAATCAAAGTCAAAGCTGTAAGGAATGGCATTAAGAGAAAATATTAAGTCATTTATACTTTCTCTTAAATTTCAACTAAGCCAGCATTTTAAATAGCACTTATTTTTAATTATTCTCATTTCTTTACCTTAAAAAACACAACTGCAGGGGCCGGCCCGGTGGCGCACTGGATAGTGCGCTGCTTGGGAAGCGCGGTGGCGCTC